GAAATCGGTTTATACCATTTAGTAGATGACTTACATCTAGACAAGTCGTTTGCATTCCAATTTCAGTGTGTTACCATCGCGAAAGTTCGGGATACATTCTCACCTTAGTTTCGAGTTAAGACATATCAATACAACTATACATTTAACATACTATAATAACTCTATATTTGATTAATAACAATTAATAACTAAATTAATTAACGTTAGAATCATTAATTTATTTATTATCAAACAAAAAATAAACTATGTATGCTACCAGAAATGTAAAGTAGAGTAACAGTAACACCACGCACTTTCAGTTCTAAAAAAATAGTAAAGTACAAATAAATGAAAGAGTCTAAATCACATTGGTAAATGACTTATATAGAACATTCAGGTAGCGCATCTTGAATCAGATAACGGTTAGTAATGCCTTGTTTCCAAAAATCTTAGAAATTACCAATTTAATCAACAAACTGACATTTGTATTTATCAACGTGATAGCTAAAGCTTTGTTATTTATTTAAATACGCAAGTTGTTTTGGGACAGTAACTGTATTTTTCCTTTGTTTCTGACAAAACAAATCCATGAACAAGCATTGTCAACCCTAGCTTTTGTAAACATTTTTGGGCTGGAATTGAATATATGTCACAATAAAAATTCTGCAGTGTTGTTCTGTAACATCTCCCTATTCGATACAATTCCATCCATAGGGAAATCCTAAGTCCTAGCAGAGTCGACATTAATAAGCTGTTGATGACGATTCCATAATAAAATCAGCGTCGAACTCCACTTCAACACAGCGCTGTCCAAGATAGAGGTTCGACCAAATAAAACCTACCTCAAAAGGTAATAAAGCTTCTATTTGTTGGACTTCTGCGCTGTGACAGCTCCTTGTTTTACGTCAAGTTCATGACTGATTTTATTATAGACTATCCCTCCGCCAGCGGCTTCGACCGCGTATACTAGTTTTCATATTTTTAATTCCAGACAATTATTAAAACACGATAAACTAAAAAATAACCAAATCGTTCTAACCACCACCTAGAATAATTATAATTTATGAAAAAGTTACCTATATATAGAGTCACGTATAAAAATAAAATCGTGCTTAAGTGGCAGGCACCCGGTAAACAAATGTTTTGAAAATTAATCGCAAGGTTCCGAATAAAACTAATTTGAAAATAACACACTTAATTTTATTATATTTTTGTGTTATTATATGAACGTATTTATGGTTTCCAATAAATGATAATTGATGTCTAGGTAGTTCTAAAAAGAAACCGAGAAATATTTTATTTATTCAAGTATATACATCAGCAAAAATTATTGCATCGTTTCATAATTATATTGCAACATTATTAGTGGTAAAAGTAAAACCGCATATTAAATAAAGGTTCATTTGCATAAATTGAATGTTGAAATTTTACTAGTTTGAATATCTTTATTTATTTAATCTTAAAAAATATTGTGATCTAACCATTTTAAAACCCATGACAGCTTATTGACTAGACATATTAGAAACTGACATTGTTTTCAACTTTACGGCGACACGTAGGTGTAATCTAGATTAAATAAAAAATGTAATATTAGAAATTTTTTGGTGTCAGTTTTGTGTTAGTTTTTTTTTTTTAACTAACCTCATTACATTGGCTATGCCTGACTGTACGCCAGTAAGGACATACAATCACTTTTACACTAAACAAGGACATTATCTAGCAGTACTATAGTAATTACTATTCGAGTACTTTTAACAACGAATTTATATACATCATTAAGATTTTACGTAACAAACTTTGTATGAAGGTTGCTTTTTATTCGATTTGTTCATCACTGTACTCTGCTCGATTACCTATTAACGTTAATCTATTTTTGAATTAATGTTAGATTATAGTAAGCATGGCCCAAGTTTATTTATCATTATTACCCTATATACAAGAATTTTATTATTGCTTGAATTTTATATGGTTGCCTTTTCCTTTTTTTAATTTGCAAAGTTTTTGTTATGGCTCGCGTAAAGTCAAAATCAAAATGTATTTTAACCAATTTCAAAACTAAAAGGAGGAAAATTTCAATACGAAATTTATAAATTTATAAATATTGTCTGCTATATACTATGTATGCTCTAGTTATGATGGATAACTCTGTAATCTATAGGTTTCTCTTCTCTCTCTATTTTAAACTCGTTTAAAATTCCATTCCATTACAGACAATATTTCATCCCTACTTTGGTATAGTAGCTCTATGGGTTAAACTCCAATAACTCTAAAAGTTTTTAGTCTCAACTCAAAATTCTTAATGACCCAAAACCATAAACAATATATCAACAACTGACCTTTTAAATATTAAACGATACACTTTGAGCTTTTAAATTGACTTATTTAAAATAAAAAAGAAAGCGAAACAATATGAATGAAAGCGGCCCAGATATTTCATCGAACTGGATTAAGGAATGCCAACACACCAATTAGCATTTCATTATATATTTTGATTGTTTTCTTTATAATGACAACGATTGGTTTTTTTTCGTGTTTCGCATTCAAAGTCCTGATTTCTATACAACTTTAGTATTCAACGAGTAACATGCTATAGAGCAGACCATGACTACCCAAAATTATAACGAAATTATAATAATGTATATGGTAATTAATAAATAACATCAATTATTAAGAAGTCAGAATTAATAAAACTCATAATTATATGTTTATCTGCTATTTAAAAAACCTAATAAATAAGTAATATAATATATTTTTATCAAAACCTAAATATGACACACATGACTTGGTATCAAAACTAAAAATACTGCCAAAAAGATTGACACAATTTCTACTTACTATCAAGTAACTTCTTATCTTCTTCTTTCAAAGATACTTCATCATTTCAATTTGTAGTAAAGCTATTATTGAATCTTAAAATTAATAGCCAGCGTTATTTATTAATTCGTCTACATATTTTTTTGAATGACATCACCGAACGATTACCTTTTATTGAGGCTTTTTAGAATAATATATTCTTACAATAATTTTGTTACTTTATAGAAAAAACCACAGACAATTATCTCACAACCTCCATGGTCAAGGTGTGGGTCAGGTTGAATAACATTGAATCATAAACAGTTAACAAGAAACGTTTCAATAGCTCAATAACGATTATTGGATCACGGACACATAAAATGAACCGTATTGACATTATAATATATTTTGAAGGTTTTATGATGAGATTTTCTGTAGAAGTCTACGTAGTTTTTTTTTTTTCTAATGCCTCCTTTATAGTGATACATAGATAAATGTGTAGTAGCTTTAAATTAAAATCTTATAACATTCAAATATAAAAACTGTCGAAGTCATTGCAATTTGACATTTTATACAATCTTAGAAACAACCAAATCCTCAAAATAGTTATTAGAAATTTCTAAACTTTAAATCGTTCTCCTCCGTAGCCGTAGCTGGCCCACCGGTTTTATGATGTCGCCATCTCTGAGGTCCTAGTTTCGATTCCCGGCCGGGTCATTACAAAATATAAACTTTTCTCTATTTTCTCGAGTCTAAGTGTTGTTTTAACTTTGCTTTTTTATATTTCTATAAAACTAAGCATAAAGCATAATTCGGATATTCATAACTTCCGTCTAATTAATGTTGCAACCTCTTAATTTGGGATCTTTATAGCAAGTATTCATATTACAAGTAATAAGCGGCCCCATACGACTATTTATACATAATTCATAAAAAAATCTAGATTTATCTAAACCTTACCAAAATAAAAAGTATGTCTTTGTTAAGCGTTCTGTCTCATATCCATACAGAAACATCAATCACAAAACTATGCAAACTGTGGCAAAATTTTATAAAGGCAATCATCGTAGGTATCGAATTCACAAAATATACTAAAATATGCACATTTTTCAACTAAATTAGTGTGTTTTTATAAATAATCAAAATTAAATTGCTGTTTTTCACATGTTCACATTTCGCAATTTCTAATCGATCGTATTAAATTTGGCTAGAGCATTAATTTAACCTAATTTATTAAGTCTAAGTTGATAGCTCTGATATTATTAAAATAAATACTAATCATGTCCTACTGTTAAGCCACTATCCCCGTGTAAGACTTGTAGTGCAACTTTCTCTCAAGTCGGTCCCTAATTCTAAAAAACTTATATTAAAAAAATCATCCAGCAGTTTATTTGATCCGCTATATTTTTTCTAGTGTTCCTTCTTTGACGTTTCTGTCATCCAAATCGCTATAGAGTTTTTAATCAACGCCTATTTTTATAAGGTTACCGATATTATATGATCTAAGGGTTACCTTATTTGCAAAGTCCGTGTTCTGCCTCGCGTGAATTCAAATCAAAACGTATTTCTAACTATTTTTAATGTATTAAAATTTAAAAAAGAAAGTTGTAACTTTCGTTAAAGATGAATATGTGTTCTGATTAATTATATTTAATAAAATTTGCATTCAAAACGATATAATTGATGTTCATAAAAAATCTTTTTATAAGTAATTTTAACCGTCTCAGATGCCCAATACTTAATTTTTATACGATGAAGTTTATTACTGAAAAATTTGTATATAAATGTCGCTGTAAAATAAATATTACTTGTACTATAATCGCAGGCAATTTTATTCTAGAAAATTTGTTGATATAGAAAAAAATAAAAAGTATATGAAAATTTCAGGTTCTGACAATAACCATTGCGAAATAAAAATCAATTACAAGTATTAATTTTTCGCCTATTCATTCAATGACACAGAGTAATTAGAGTCGCATAAACTAATAGGTATATTGTGTAATATTTAAGAAATTATAAAATGTTATATTAGCATTATCCAACTATAGCACTGTATGTATCTGTTACCAATTGCATGATAACCTCCAGGTCAATTGTTCATACAAATTGTTATTAGCGCGCAGTGAATACTGAACACCGAACGTTTTGCCATTCATACTCTTCTTTATTCTTTGAACAAAGAAAGTGAACATAAATATAACCTTTTTTTTAGACAAAAAAAAAACAAAATGTCAATGAACGGAAAAGACGAACCAGTAGTTCCACCCTCGTCACTAATAAGGCGCGTAAGTTCACGTTCCATTCGAAATTCAATTTCGGAAGAGAAAGAAAATGGCGTCGATAATGTCAACTCAGTAAAATCGTTCGTAAGCAAATACAAAACAGCGCCAGAAGCACTGAAGAATTTCCACTTGGCTGATGCTGAAAGCGAACTTGAGGTACCTGGAACACCAATGACACCAAGAACATCTACCACACCTGGTTTGTATTTAGCTATCTCTTTTTAAATGAATGAAACAGGCATCGTTTAATAAAATTGAATTTTCCTATAAAATAACATGCATTTCTAATAAGTTATGGCTGGTTTACGAGTAATTAAGTAGTTTAGTACGTGTAAACACACATTTTTTTCAGTTAATTAACACAAACACTTAATAGTATAAAGATATATCTAATAACAAATAAAATAAATACAATAAAAGTGAATAAAATAAATACAATAAAAGTGAATAAAATAAATTAAATAAAAGTGAATTTATTTATAAATTGAAAATGATTGTGTATTGTCGCTATTGAATGCTTCAAGGTGGATTTAAAATAATTTCTCTGAAAAATTATAATTACTAAGTAATGCCTTGGAATGTTATCGTTCGTTGTTAATATAAAGTTATGAATAAGAATAGATGAAATTACAGATAAAATGAAACCATTTAAATTAGATATTATTTGTTTGAACTTCTATACTGTGACAACGCTGTGCCCGAGATCGAGTTCGCTGCTAATTTTTTTACTTACTTACAATAAGTTTTAATAAATTATGTTTAACGTTACAGTTTAGTTGTATCTGACGAGAGCTGGCGTTATCGTTTTAATTTGATATTTTTTTTATATCATTCACCAATGTATATTAGCATTATAGCGCCTTCTTGCTTTAAAATATTATATAATAATGAGTTTATATGTTAAAAAACAATCTCAAATATGGATTTACTTAATTTGAATATTCAAAACATATCTGTTTACTTAAAAATAATCAATTTTTTCCCCATTTTTCGAGTAAGAAAATCTAATATCACTTAAGCAATTACGATATTTTGGCGTGCTATTGGATTACATACATTGCTATTCTAATATATACGTGTATATTAACTACTGAAAATGTGACTTTTAAGTACATTTTGAGACGTTCTTAACTTTAAATTCCCAATTCAAGAACAGGATGTTAATGGTTCTTACGCAAGATAACACAATATACAATTTTCCTTAATATTCTTATATAATAAACAAAATGTATATTGATATATTCTTCCTTTTTCTTACATATAAGAGAGAGTCGATCAGGAACTGTCGTCTATAATTTTATTAATTCAATTAAAAATTCTTGTTATATTAATCCTACTATTAGTTTCTTATTTTGGATGTTTGTCCGTCAATCACGTTGAAACTACTGAACGGATTTTGATGAAATTTGGTATACAGATAGAGTCTTAGTTAATATAGATAATAGACTAAACATTACTCTGGGGACATTATCCCACTAAACATTACTCTAGATACCACGCGGGCGAAGCTGCTGGCGAAAGCTAGTATTAAATAAATCATACCTATAAGAGTATTATCATCATGTTTTGAAATGAAAATTTTTTTTTTTAAAGTGCATTTCATGATATGCGTTTCAGAATCTTGAATGAGGTTAGGAACAAGTTACATCTATTGAATTATTGTGAAAAAGTTCCATTTAATAATAATAATTTCATATCATACACAAATCTGACGCTACAGGTTTTAATTTCGATTAGAATTTCTAACAACAAATCATTAAAATGAATTTGCGCATAAATTTTGCATTCGCGCTTAAACTGTTTGTGATTACTATAAACATTTACGATAATTGTTGTTTTATTGCATCAGAATAACTACTGTTTTTTTTTTAATAAATCAGCAAACACAATATTGCGTAAAGCATTCGTAAATATTTTTTTAGAAATGATATTGTATATTTTTGTATAAAAGAGTCATGCTTTTGTTATCGCGACCTCCGTAGCCGAACTGAAAATAATTAAGATTACATAAAGTCTTAATTAAAAATATTTAAAAATCCACTTAAAAGTCCCTGGCAATCTGAGATGGGACTCGAACCCATGATCTTTCGTAATCCGGGCGACTCTAAGCACTGAACTACCCAGGCCCTATAAGGACTAACAAATTTTTCGAGCGCTCGTTCCTTTTTCGCTACTATAGAGCGTATTTTTATCAGTAAATGCAATATTTGTCAAATATAATAAGATTAAATATAGTCAAAGATGTGTTTGAACGAATTTTTTAAAACTTTCCGTAGGTGAAAGACATTTTTTAGGCTATACAATCAAAAGTTTGCTCTTTATAAATATTAGTGTATTTACAATTCATTTACAAATATATACCTAGAACGCTCGGTACGCTCGGTGGCGTAGTGGATAAGCGCCGCGGCCCGCGATCGTTTTCGTTAAGCAACTTTCGCAAGGGTCGGTCACGGGATGGGTGACCAAATCATGGCCCATCCCCCTTAACTAATCCTTAAGGAAGGCCAGAGCCCCTGGACTGGGGACGTAAAAGGGCTGGTGATGATGATGATGACCTAATACGCGTTATTCATTTCGTTCACCTTCTTTCCAGGTCACGAGAACTGCACCTTCCACCATGACCTGGAGCTGGACCACAGACCGCCTACCAGGGAGGCGTTGCTGCCCGATATGGCCAGCTCCTACAGACTTCTACTCACAGGTAAACTAGCTATTTAGGACCAATCACACCCTTCGAAATCCTTTTGTTCGTTCAATTATTTATCATATTTCTATTTAATATTATATTTCAATTTATATAGCCATATGATACGACATTTGAAGAATTTCCATATGTTAAGGATAATCATGGCTATAAGTCGCTATCCTGGTACCTGAGATTATTTTATTCAAGTATTTTTAAGATAATTATTTTTGTTTAGAAAAATTTAATAGCTTTAAGCTAGCCGGACAGACCCCTAGAGATGATTTCTATGTGAAAAAAATATAGTAATGATTTAGCAATTACTTTAGTCCATAAAGTATAAGCAAAAACAATAAAGCTTTCATAAACTATGTGTAATGTCACAATGATGTCATAAAGTTTAACTGCTCCTTCAGTCAAGATAACTGATAAATAATACACTTATAAAATAACTTCGGTGTATTAAACTTTCATGGCTAGTTAAAATACAACATGAAATGGTCTTTAATTATAATAAATTTAAAGGACTTTGGGAAAAAGCTACTACAAAAAAAAATACATCTACAGTCTCTTGCGGTTATAAAGCTTAAGACACTTTAGTCCTTTAGAACTCAGCTAGGATTCCTTGATAAATCTAGAAACAATTTTCCGCCCTATGTGTTTCCAACTTCATATAACCCTGGATGAAGGATGAAGTGCGAAAAGAGATCTTAACAAGCCGACAAGATAGTGATTGCTGCCGGCAGTAATTTGAACTTCTATCAGCTTTTAGTGTTATAAGACTATGTATAATAGCACTTTACACCAGCTGTGTAGCACTTTGTCGCGCGATAATTAAAAAAGTATATATTAATAACATATACAAAAAATTATATTTGATCAATTATGCATACACAATGCTAGCCCAATGCTATACTGATGATATTGTTTAAGCATTTTCAATTAAAAACTTATATATCTTTTTTTTTTCTAGGTTTAGGTGAAGATCCAGAGCGACAGGGCTTATTGAAGACTCCAGAACGTGCTGCTAAAGCTATGCTTTTCTTCACTAAGGGTTACGATCAGAGCTTAGAAGGTATATAAAACTGAAATCTTTATACTAAGTTTTATATAGAAAAGTGAAAAGACATCTTGCAGCGATTTTATAACACAACCGATCTGACTTTATTTCAAATGCATGATTAATAAAAATTTCTCCTTATTAATGGCTCACATATTTAGAATAAATTTTCTAAAAAACCATCAAAATGGTATCGTATATTGTATCAATAGCCAACTGTGAAAATATTTCTTTCGGCTGTTTTATTCTGTAGATTTGTTCTCTTTCGATTTGTTGAAAATCAGTATTTTATTCTTTTTAAGCAAATATTTTACCTAAACTTGCATCGTTCATAAAAATCGCTGCTTAATTTAAGTTAAATACTTAGATTCAGAATGTCTGTTTCTTTATTATTTTTTCTCTCAGTGCATGCAAATAAATTATTAATCTGCTATCTTTCTAAATTTTGATAGAGATACTTTCTAACAGCAAAAATAACAAATATCTGCTTGAGAAAGTAGCTAGTCTTGTTGAGTCTTCATTTAGAGCACTAGCCCGGTTCATAAAAAGATCTAGATTTCTAGGGAAAGTCTAAAAATGTTAGCGTAATACGGCTGTAGACATTATTAATACATATTATTATTTTCTGGTAGTGTTTTATATATTATTACCGATAATCACAATTTTATGCTTATAATAGCCAACTGTGAAAATATTTCTTTCGGCTGTTTTATTCTGTAGATTTGTTCGCTTTCGATTTGTTGAAAATCAGTATTTTATTCTTTTTAAGCAAATATTTTACCTAAACTTGCATCGTTCATAAAAATCGCTGCTTAATTTAAGTTAAATACTTAGATTCAGAATGTCTGTTTCTTTATTATTTTTTCTCTCAGTGCATGCAAATAAATTATTAATCTGCTATCTTTCTAAATTTTGATAGAGATACTTTCTAACAGCAAAAATAACAAATATCTGCTTGAGAAAGTAGCTAGTCTTGTTGAGTCTTCATTTAGAGCACTAGCCCGGTTCATAAAAAGATCTAGATTTCTAGGGAAAGTCTAAAAATGTTAGCGTAATACGGCTGTAGACATTATTAATACATATTATTATTTTCTGGTAGTGTTTTATATATTATTACCGATAATCACAATTTTATGCTTATTATATCATTATTAAACGAGTAGCTCGGTGGCGTAGTGGATAAGCGCCGCGGCCCGCGATCGTTGTCGTTAAGCAACTTTCGCAGGGGTCGGTCACGGGATGGGTGACCAAAAAATTATTGTCTCGAGCTACTCCGTGCTTCGGAAAGCACAGTAAGCCGTTGGTCCCGGCTGCATTTGCAGTCGTTTATACCCACTAAACCGCATTGGGCTAGCGTGGAGGGTCATGGCCCATCCTCCTTAACCATTCATAAGGAAGGCCTGAGCGCCTGCAGCGGGGACGTAAAAGGGCTGATGGTGATGATGATGATATTTATAATATTGCTTAAATTAATTATAAAAAAAAAACAATATTTTATACTCGTTGTCACGTGACCGCAAACAGCTCGTGACGTCACGCCTCTCCCTCTCAATAAAAGCTTAGAGAATTGAACCATAAACATGATAGAACGATATTAGTTTCAAAGGACCGTGACGTCTTAGCGACGCCATGACAGAAGTTGACGTTTCCGCGGGAAATTTTGAAACTAAATTTATTTTTGATTTTAAACTTACTAAACAAATGATATTTTATGAAATATTTTTTTTGGATATATTTAATGTATAAAATAAAAATATAAAAATGCTGTGTACACCCCTATTATGGAAACTCAATAGCGCTTCAAATGCAGGTTGTATTTGATACAGTTCTTGTTACTAAATCACAAATTAATAAATATATCGGTCACTATTGATTTTTGAGGAAGACATTGCAGAAATAATATTGGACTTCAGGTTGTTAGGGTAATTGGAAAATGCAATTTGAGACTATTGATATGCGATTGTTACGTAAAAATTTAAAGAATTGAGACCCAGCTTATTTCGTAAGATACATGACTTTGAAAAGCATATTTCTTTTCTAGAAGAATCAGTTTTATCTACCTAAAAAAAAATATGAGACACAATGCATTAATATGTTACAGAGGTCCTAAACAATGCCATCTTCGATGAAGACACCGATGAAATGGTTGTAGTGAAGGATATTGAAATGTTCTCTATGTGCGAGCATCATCTGGTGCCGTTCTATGGGAAAGTTTCCATTGGATATTTGCCACAAGGCAAGATCTTGGGGCTCAGCAAGTTGGCAAGGTTAGTATATATATATTTTTAGAGCTTCAACAAACAATTTTTTTTAGCCTGTTCGTTACATAAAATATAATTTGTAATTGTTTTTAACTATTTTTGTTCGGTTTTTAATAATATATATAGTATTTCTAACGAATATTTATTCAAAATTTCGAATTGTTGTTATTTTTTTTTTTTTGTTTATTTGGGTTAACAAACAGTTTCACAATGAATCTTAATAGCGAAACTAACACCGTCAACCACGGTTAGATTTCAGAAGTTGAGAGTTAAACAAATGAATAGTATATTAATAATCCTATTAATATTATAAATGTGAGTTTCTTTGTTTGGATGTTTAGATGTTTGGATGTTTGTACGTCAATCACGCCGAAACTACTGAACAGATTGTGTTGATATTTGGTGTATACCAAGGATATTAGCTGGGTATTAGCTGACTTAGATAATAGGATACTTTTTACCAACTAAACATTTCCCTAGGGTCCCCGCGGGCGAAACCGCTGACGAATGCTAGTAGAAAATAAAAATGATCTACTCATACTAAGTGAGATGCCCAATGCTGATCTCGTTCAATTTGTTTGTGATTAATGCTTTAAACGAGCCAACACTGGCTGCAAACATGTCTGTATCATTAAAATAATTATTATGTATTATCATTTTGTTACAAACATACCCATCAAGAATATCTGTGCATCCGAAACAGTCATGTCCTACCTACGTCGCATCATAAATTATTAAAAAATACGTTTCTTTGACGTCGTAATAGCAATTCGAAATAGACAAAATTTCATCTTAGACCGCCCATACTGATCTCTTAAAATTCTAAATTCTTTTAAATTTTAATTCCTCGTTTAGAATCGTGGAGATTTTCTCACGTCGTCTACAAGTACAAGAGCGTCTCACCAAACAGATCGCTGTAGCGGTGACGCAGGCCGTCAGACCTGCAGGAGTCGCCGTCGTCATAGAAGGAGTGTAAGTATTAAAAGACACAGTATTCAACCGATATGTTTAATATTCGAATAGCTTTACAAGATAAACAACCCGGCAGTATGTTGGCGCGAAACTAAACGTCAAAGCCAACTGACATTGATCGCTAACTGACAGATAGGGATGCCCGTAGTGAAATAACCAATTAATGCTGCCAGTAATAGTCGATTTTTTTTACTAATACTACTTTCCGCCAGCGATTTCACTTGCATAGTTCCTACGAAACCCATTAGCAACCCAAAAAACACACCCTTAGCGGTCAAATTTGCAAAAGCCTTATGCAAAATTTTAAGTTGCACTTTTAATTTCAGAGATTTCAGTGACTTTCGGCTTTTATTTATATAAATAAATTTAAAGCTGTTGTATAAATAAATTGAATGTGTACCCGCGACTTCTTCCGGGTAAATCACAGCCTATGTAACTTCCCGTAGGTAAAAGAATTTTAAAAACTGATCCTGTAGTTTCGGAGCCTATTCAATAAAAAAACCTAACTTAACAAACAATCAAATCTTTCCTCTTTGTTATATAATTATAATGTTAATAAGTTAGTTCTTTTTTGTTTTACTTTATGATCAAGAAAAATTGCAATTTAATTCAACCAACTTATTTTTAATTCACTTTCACTTTTCACTTACTACTTAAAAATCTTTTCAAGATCTATTTAAGCCATCCACGGGCGTGGTACATGTCTTGTTATTGCAGCGTCGTTATCCCCGGTTAATTCAATGTAGCACCTTAATGAACTTTTCTAGTTCCCTTGGGTCTGGGTTTCCTTCATGTTTCAGATTTCCGTAATACAAGTGCTTTATGTAATATTGTCTAATATCAATCAAATTGTTCGAACTATAATAATTTAATGATGCGTTTATTAATATCGACATCGATATTTTACTGTCCCTTCTCAAATTATAATTTAAATTATTTTATACCCCCAGACATATGTGTATGGTGATGAGAGGAGTACAGAAGATAAACAGCAAGACTGTTACTTCCACCATGCTCGGAGTGTTCCGCGACGATCCCAAGACGAGGGAGGAATTCCTCAACCTGGTCCACACCAAGTGAGACCCCGTATTGCCTGAATGCCACTGACAAACATTTTCATCTCCATCAACATTGCTGAAACAGGATCAATAACTCCATTAGTTTCATTAACCTTATTATAACATTGTTCGTTTTAAAACGGTTTTTTATACCTTACGCCCCGAATCACTTGAAAAAAAAATATGTCTCTTTTGGAATAGTGATTAAAATAGGATTACAATAAATTTGACAGTGGCATTTAGGTTAAAACTTGCTTGTGTTCCTCTGTTATTGTTGCTTTTCGATATTCAAGTAACTTTAGATTCAAATAAAATAAAAAAATATATATAACACCTAACACTTTGTCCGTTTTAAAATAGAAGAAATGACTTTTTATGATAAATGAGCGACATACTTCAAAAGAGTTTTATATTAGTTACCAAATATATTATAAACAGACGGATTAACCACGAGCTTAATTTTTAGAAAATAAAATGTATTTTAGTTGAGCAGCTTCTTTCCTACGTTTGTTTTGTGTTAAGTTGATAAGTTTTTATGTTCAGGTCATGCAAAATTTCCATATGAGGAAAGTGTTGATTTTTGGAAATTGTCGATAATATCCATAAAATGACACCACTATTGACATTAACATTCTCGTGTTGTTTTGAAAAGCTCTGCTATTCTGAAATAAAATCACCTACCGTTTACTACTTTTTTAAAGTAGGTTTTGTTTGAACCTCTGTACTGTGACAACACTGTGGGATTTTTTTTAAGGAAAAGCATAGAAGATCAGTTGATAGACTGAAAACCTTAAAACAGTCTTTCATTGTTAAGCGAAAAATATAAAATACTTAAAAGAGTGTTTATTATAATTAGCTTTTTTCATATTTTTTAATTTATTGCGTTGATCCAAATTCTTCTAAAAAGTTACCAGCAACAAATCAATAATTAATGATCAATTAATTTGAATAGCCTCTGTGTTAATTTGAGAAAATAATACATAAACCCATACAGTATTTCGCTTCCTATTAATAAGAAAAAAAAATAGGTATTATAAATGCAAAGCAATACTGCCTTAGTTTTATGACTAAATTATATATATTTTTTGCTTAAAAAATGCTTTTTGTTTTTTTAAGATTCTGTCTGAATGTTTGACAATAAAATTTATATGGCTTTGAAAAATATGACAACACAAATTGCCCAATCAAATGTGGTCATATTTTTCAATATTCAAAAGACAATATGTATTAAAAATAAGAAGTACAAAGTTTATTTTATATCTATATAATGTGAGAGTGAAAAATATTTTTTATGAAATTTTATAATTAATATTATTTTGGTGGACCAATGTCTTTCTTTTGACAAAAATCTCAAGCGGTCATGGCTGACGTTTGACATTTTTGTGCTTTTAAAACTATATTATTAAGTGATTGTTCTTAAAGATTATTATAAATTGTTATTTGACCTAAAGATGCCTTACGAGCATGAAATGTGAATGATGCATATACAATTTTTTTTGATAATGTTTAAACATATTTTGTCAAGTAACTAAATAATGCTAGTTGATTGAGAAGTTATCTGATTTTTTATAAATAAAGTTTTTATTTTAAGTTGGGCTGCATCTTTTATTTCTACACACCACAAAAAACTGTATCAATTACCTTTTTTTTTTGCTTTGATTATTTTATTGTGCGAGGCTTTAATGCTATATCGTGTCTGAAAGTCTGAAACTCGGTTTTAATTATTATGATAGTAGACTTATTTTGAAGATGATAATAATAATAATAAATAACAATTTTTAACTTTGTACAAATACCAGTTGCCAATGGAAGCCAGTGTCTTCCTTATGACATTTCTATTTAATAGGTACTAAGCACAAACCAATTACATCATATAGAACATAAAGAATGATAGTTACAAACTTTACGCACACGCACGCGTCTGTGTAAAGTGCGTGTGCGCGCGTCTGTGTAACGTGCGTGTGCGCGCTTGTGCGTATCTGTGCGTGTGTGTGTGTGTGTGGGTGTGTGTGTGTGTGTGTGTGTGTGTGTGTGTGTGTGTGTGTGTGAGTGTGTGTGTGTGTGTGTGATTGTGTATCTGTTTGTGCGAGTGTGTATGTTTGTGTGTGTCGAACTCACCAATCGCAAAATAATAAGCTCAGAATTACGGTCAACTGGCTTAATATTTTTTGTACTGATTACAATTATTTCTTGTATCAAAGTTATAAGAACAAGATAAAGGATTCACTATTATTAGCCTTTCAATTATATAATGTTTGTGTAATTAACACGTGTCTCAATCATTTCAATATTTATCATATATACCTATAATTATTTCTTATACTTCCGCCTACACTACACTACACAATACAAAATAATAAATAAATACACTACAAAATAACTATTTAACGAGTTTAAACGAATCAATTTACCAATTTGTTACATTACATTCATTCATTCAAGCAAAGGATCGTGACGTCACGCCTCTCTTACTCAAATCAAAACTTAGAGAATTAAACTTTATGCATAATAGAACGATATTATGTAGTTTCAAACAGCTGTGACGTCATAGCGGCGTCATGACAGAAGATGGCGTTTTCGCGGGAAATTTTGAAAACTAAATTTATTTTTTAATTTTAAACTTACTAAACAAAGTATTTCTTTTTTAAATATTTTTGTAGATATATTACTATTATTATATAATTGTAACGAGTTCAAACGAATTAATTTACCTATTTGTTATATTACCTACATTCATTTATTCAAGCAAAGGATCTATAACATTAAAAAAATATATGAAAGTCGATTAATTGCTATGAAACACGTTAAGTTTTATTACTATACTAGCTGTTTTAATACAACTTCGCTCGCGTAAAGATATCACCCGTAAATGAAAAAAAAATCTTAAGGCGGTCCAGGAGTTTCGGAATCTATCATTTCTATCTATAATTTTAAAGTTTGATATTCTACGTTCTTGAGTTAAAAACTCTTATTAACATTAAATTTTATATCACAAAATTTTTTAAACAGTGATATGCTTGTGAACGCCAACAATACTACATATTACAGAAACAATACTACATTTGATAACATTTCATAAGTACAAGATGACTAAGATATCTAAGTCGTACCTATTAGCAATCCGATATTTAATTCACAATGCAAAAGGTTATGGCTTTATGCTCTGGTTATGCGCTCTTATACCGTCTGAGGCATCTGGGACTGGTATTTTTATAGGTACATTTTTCTTTATAGATAAATATAATTACCTTAAATTAAGATTGAGACAGAAATAAAAAAGATTGACCTACTTTAAATCCGAATTAACCTTGAATTATATAAATAGTTCTTGGAAAAAATATCTCACTAGTCCGACGGTCGAACTAGTGAGAACAAAGGTTAGGACTTAGGTACATCTCTAAGATAACCTTCACAACTTAATACTAAAAATATTCTTGAAACAAGGACTTATCTTTAAAAAAATATAATTAAGAATAATAATTAATAGGAAAGAATTTATAGATACAATATTTATTTTAAATATCGATTAATAATTTATCTTCACAAATTAAAACTTTAACGACCTCCCTAGTCCAGTGGTTGGTATGCCGGTATCAAGGTGTCGCCATCTCTGCGATCCTGGGTTTGATTCCTGACTAGTTCAGTGTAGAAAATGAACTTTTCTATATTGTCTCGGGTCCGTGTGTTGTGGTACCTTCGTTGTCCCAGAAACTCCACAATACGCAAGCTTTATTCATCTTGGAATCTGACCAAAGTTGTCTAATATTTAAAAAAATACATCAATTTATATATTTAGTTCATACATCAATTAATAATTACCAAATAAATAATCTAAATTTTCAATTTATAAATAAAAAGAAATAGTCTTGAGCGTGCGCCTGCCGCAGGAAAAATGAAAGTTTAAAATAAAGATTTTGTCTGACCGTCGCGTAGATGATTAAAAAATATTAAATACGTATTTTTTATTTTTTGCGTAATCGCTGAAAAACTGAAAGGAAATGTCGCATGCCATCTCACCTTTGTGCATTTTCTACATAGTTGTGAGTTGTAACGTAGGGATGCCCAACTCCTCAATTGTAATGCCTATTATCTAAGCCCTTTGTTGTTAAATTGAGCAAAACAATATACGTATCTAATATTTTTCTATTGTCAACCGACGAACTTAATAGAATCTCTTTTTTTTTGCCATCATCTGGCATCATCCCTATATGATTTTCCATTCATTAAATCAATATGGATGGATAATCATGTTCTACACAAAACCATTGGCTTTACCAACTTGATATTACTGTCTGATTGTGAACTCATTTGGCATCTCATCATCATCATCATCAGGCCTTTTACGTCCCCACTGCAGAGGCTCAGGCCTTGCTTATGGATGGTTAAGGAGGATGGGCCATGGCCCTCCACGCTAGCCTAATGTGGTTGGAGAGTATTAACGACTGCCAATGCAGCCGGGACCAACGGCTTAAAGCGCTTTCCGAAGCACGAAATCATCATCATCATCAGCCCGTATTCGTCCACTGCTGGACATAGGCCTCCCCAATTGCACGCCATCTAGTTCGATCCTCGGCTGTTCGCATCCAGACCCTGTCAGCCATCTTGCGCAAATCATCGCTCCACCGTTCCTGAGGACGTCCTACACTACGTTTGCCGAGACGCGGTCTCCACTCAAGAACTCGTTTACCCCAACGGTTATCGGTTCTGCGGCTAATATGGCCAGCCCACTGCCACTTCAGCTTGCTGATCCGGTGGGCTGGCACTACGTTTGCCGAGACGCGGTCTCCACTCAAGGACTCGTTTACCCCAACGGTTATCGGTTCGGCGGCTAATATGGCCAGCCCACTGCCACTTCAGTTTGCTGATCCGGTGGGCTATGTTGATAACCTTGGTTCTCTGCCGGATCACCTCATTTTTGATTCGATCCCGCAGAGAAACGCCGAGCATAGCCCTTTACATAGCCCGCTGAGCGACCTTCAACTTGTGGACCAGCCGTGCCGTCAGTGTTCACGTTTCGGCTCC